ACCCCTGTCCCCCCGCCATTCCCCTCTCTGGTCCACTCGACCTTCTGCACTCCTGACCCTCATCACTCCCTCTCCTGACAATGTGATCAACTTTTTCCCCTGTTTTTGTGGAATCACTGAGTGAATAATTGTATGACATGACTCCATACACCCAACTGAAATCAGATCATCAGGCATTTTTCCAATTCAAGTCCCACCTATTCCAGAGATGAGCAATATAGTGTCTGAACAGGTTGATTAGAAAATATCTACAAGGGTTGGATGTTGGGTCTGTTGTGGTGGAGTGGTAGTGCTCCTACCTGTGGGCCAGTAGGCCCACATTCAAGTCCCACCTGCTCCAGAGGTGTCTCAGGACAGGTTGATTTAAAATATCTGTAATGGTAGGTGCAGTGAGTGTGTCTCTACAGTTCCACAGGCAGCAAACACAGCCTGTCCAAAGTCAGGACAGTTTCAGTAAATCAGTAATCCCTCATCTCGACCTGGAACTGAACTTGTGCATTGCAGGAAGAGAAAAGTCCACCACAATTGTGCAAAAGATGAAGTCATACTTACCCAGGCCTAAAAAGTTATTTTTTAGATCTTTCTTGACCTCGCGATCAATGCTTTCCAACATATCGTAGCAGCTGTAGGTTTTATATCGGCCGAAAACTAAACAGAGGAACAATCAGATGAGAATGTGGAAAACATGCCACTCTTGGTGAGAGTGAAATGTTACTGGTCAAGTCATTGTGAGTGATAGCTCCCTGTTCCTGATACATACATGAAGCCGTTGATAATTTCTATTGATGTTCTATTGAGGCACATGAGCAGACTGAAACCAAATGCAGCCTTGACGAACCAAAATAGTCACGATAAACATGTTTCGGTGTGTTTGCTGGTTCCTGCTTTCTATCGTTTCGAAATGTGAGTTAGTGAGGGTGAGTATGCGCTGGTTCACTACTTCCTGTACTGTGTGAGTGTATAAATGTGAGCTCGTGCATTTCCTCACTATTTCCTGCACTGAGCTTGTGAGTTGGCTTACTAATTCCAGTACTGTATGAGTGTGAGCGACTGAGAGTGGGTATGAGAGTGCACTGGTTCACTATTTCCTGTACTTCCTTCAAGCAAGTGTAAGAGGGCACAAGTGTGCAATGGTTCACTATTTCCTGTACTGTGTAAGTGCGAGCTAGGGTGTGAGTGAGAGGGAACGTGCATTGTTTCACTAATTCCTGTAGTGTGAGATTGTGAGCGAGGGTGCGAGTGTGC